AGAATAAAATAGTGGTAGTTAAATTTTTTATGTCACATGATATTAACGCACATGTTTATCAAACCCATATTTTAAGTACACAAACACAATATGTAAATATATATATAGATATATATATATACACATATATATATATATCTATATATACAGAATATACAGTATATATATACTGTATATATACACCTGAAGTTCAGGCATTGTCACCATATAATAAAAATACAGATTTTACATTTGTATTTTACTTCATCATACATGACTAATTTCTTTGTTTTCATTAGTTATGACAGCCATTTATTGTAAATTTATATTAACGTAAGCTGCTAGTGAAAGTCATTGTGATTCATGTGCTTGTGTCTTACCTCCAGTAAACAAAAAAACTGCTGGCTGCACAACTTAGCTTATCAGATCTGCCTGACTCACCTGGCTGTACTATTGCCTTATGGGCCAACAGACCGGGCTCACTGGTCTCTGCTAAGATTTATGGGTGTAGGTACTTGCTGTGGTATTTGGTTACATCATCTCCCTGCTCCTTCATTGGAGGAATGTTGAAAAGAAGGACAAGAAGACTGAACACTGAGCAAATTAGACCACAAGCAGACTATGGTTACCGGTATGAGAATGTTTAAATTGAAGGAGCAAAGGGAGTGTTTTTAGGACACGTGTCATGGTGGTTTTGGAGGGTTTGAAGGAGGGGTGACCAATATGTAAATATTAAAACTATCCCACAAAAAATTGGATTCTTGGCAACTAAAGTGATTCTAGTAGTTGCAGCTTCAGATACGTCTGCCATGCACACAGCAGAACCTTGGAGCACCTGGATGTCCTGCTCACTGCCTTACCTAGCTGATTTGTCTTGCCCTGTTCTTCGCATTAAAGACATAGCCCATCGTTTGCATAAAATAATGAATGCACATATATAGATTAAAAAAATGCATTTATTGTTTTTTTACATTGGAGCCTGCAAAGCATTGCAAACACAATCAGAGGACCATGGGTGCAATGCTCTGGGTCCTGCAGACTCTTCCTCTCAGCCCCTGTCTGTACCGAGGTATGGACTTTCAGTCTACACAAGTTCAGTGATGTCACCACACTTGTACTCCTTTCAGAACTTTGAGTCCCTCTGCTGCAGATGGGATTTGGTATCATGCCATCGCTGGATGTTTACATTTCAAGCAGATTTCCCGCTCATGCGTGCCACCTAGCGACTGGCACGAGCGGGACGGGAATGGATGTTTAAAAACGTCCACCCGCATTCAAGAAGCCACTGTCCGGACGTTTAATTACAACAGCTGGACAGCAGGTGGCTAATAAATGTCTCGTCTACCAGAATTTAAGTACCAAGTGCACACTTTCTTCATTGTTGTGATTGCTCTCTGTCACCTTTCAACATTTGTGTCCATCACTACCCCACCTCTCCACCCCATTGTCTATTCTATGCCCTTTCTTCATTAATGTGCCCTCCTTCCACTTCTATCCTCTGTGAACCCATTTCACCTGTGCACGTTTACTGCCCCCATTGTACTACTCCCCTCACCCCTATTGTACCACATAAATGTTATACTGTATACAAAATATGCTTAAATATTACAATAAAAAGCATGATATTTGTGTCATCCTAAATACACAAGTAGATTAGATGTCAGCATAAGGGGGCTGGGACTAAGAGTTCAAATAGTTATGTTGCAGTAATGGATAGTAAAATGCAGTTGGTGTTGTTGTGCCATTTTTATTTTGAATGGTAACCCAATGTTCTGCATGATAGCAGCCAAGGGACAACATGGCATGTGCTGCATTATAAAATGGTGCATGTCCATGTGGGGTGTTAAGGTGGTCAGTCTATTTAAAATGAAAGGACTACCTTAATGCAGTGCACCGTAAACAAGAGTAATGTTTTGGGTTATTGCATTTGCTTTAACACAACTCATAGTGTGAATGGGCCCTAACAGTTCTAAAGCAGCTTAAAAGATATGTTTTTACACATAGGACATTGTCCAGAGAGCTCCTCAGTAAGTTCCGGTGACAAGCAGCATACTATACTGCCTCCATGTTGCTGCCTGAAGGACATAGCTTTGCCTTCTGATTTGCAGCTGCCAGGAGCAGGAAGATTTGAGCCAACAGTATGCTCAGACTCTTGGATCTTGTGGGGCAGCCTGTGGAACACAAGGCAGTGTGCAAAATCCCCAGACTGTTCCACAAGATATGGCACATGTGGCAGCTATGGAATACTATCATTACAATGATTAACCTCATACTATTATCAGAACACAATGGGGGACATGTATTAAAACTGGAGCAGACAAAATCTGGAGCAGTTGCAAATGGCAACCAATCAGCTTCTCTCTTCAATTAGTTCAGTTAAGATTTGAAAATGAAAGAGAGAAGCTGATTGGTTGCCATGCACAGCTGCTCCAGATTTTGTCTGCACCAGTTTTAATATATCCCTCTCAGTATTTTATACAATCGGGGGCCTTTACCTACTGTCATATTACTTTTCCTGGTTCTGTGCCTTTTAAATACACATTCTGCAGTTTTGATGAATGCCCCTCAGTATGTTTTACAATAGGGGTCCTTTACCTACTGTCATATTACTTTTCCTTGTTCTGTGCCTACTAAATACACATAGGGCACTGTACCTTATGTAATTAACCAAAGGTCCTGTAAAACTTACATGTTCCAGACAAAGGAGATGGGTCGGCAACCTAACCATAGACTTTGCATCCCCCCATATTTTCCTGTGTTGCCTTCCATAATTCAAAAACATATTGGTAGCTAAACTGGCATCTAAGTTAAACAACCCTAGTGTGTGCATGATAATGGATTGTGTTAAGTGCATTGACAAGAACCATATAATTGAATAAAATCATTAATTTTTACATCATGACTTTTTTCTTGAATTTTAAATCATAGCTCTACCCACTAATTTAATGTCTCCCAAGCCAGTTATTTTTAAGGCATGCCAATTGTCAAGGTTACCAGTGTGCTTATTTCAGCTCTCAACTGAACTTTCAAGCCCTCAGATGGCCGATGTCATAGCTGATCACATGTGCAGCACCATGACAACTACAATGCAAATAGGTGCTGAGATGGCGCCTTCCTCAGCTGTAGAGGATAGGAGGTCGTAGTTCCTCTTCAAGCCATTAAGCCATTATGGCTGTGAAATACAATAAATTATTTTTATAGGTATGTTTATAAGAGCTATAACTTGCTTTGTTAAAAACAGAAAGTAGGCAATAGAGAGCTGAACTTACAATCTATTAACATATGTCAGGAGAGTGAATTTATTCAATGATGCTAATTTCTTAAAGGAGTTGAAAATCTTCACTCAATAAATTATGTGAATATTTCAATTATCCTCATCATCATAATAATAATAAAAATAATCAATTTCAATGATCAATTTCAATTATTTGCAGGAGGTTGGCAATAGCAGTCTCCATATATCGCAAAGTATATTTCCTTTAAGGATCATTTATTTCCTTTTGTTAGTGCAGGATACTATAGACACAAATATGATCTGCATTAAATTATTCATGGAGTAATACTGGATTGTTTATTTCATGAATATAACTTTACCAAATTTGAAATGCCTGCTTTTTCCTTAGAGAGTTCCCCAGGAGAAATAATCACCATGAATGGAATTGACAATGGGATCAACAGTGTATGTGCAATTTGTGGAGACCGAGCTACAGGAAAGCATTATGGAGCCTCCAGCTGTGATGGATGTAAGGGATTCTTCAGACGTAGCATCAGGAAGAGTCATGTTTACTCCTGCAGGTATTGTAATTCTTTATTCACAATATTGTCTATTTAAAGTGAATCTGTCAAACTTGAGTTATGATTGAAGCACTGTACACTAAGCTAAAAAAAAAAATCATAAATGAACTTTTACTGAGAGCAACACATGAAATAAATCAATAAGCTGCTACTGACATCCAGGAAACATGTCCCTTATAGAGATTTTTAGTGTGCGCTCCAGCCAACCTTTCTATAGAGTGGGAACATGGTTAAATTCCTATTAGGTTTTTACTACTATCTGGGGCAAGGGATTTGACCATATTTGGCTGCTGGTGTGCTGCAAACCGTGCAGATATGCCTCATCTTCTCCGACAGTTCCCAGGAGCTCTCTATTCGTGTCTGATGTCACCCTGGGTCTGATGTCATTCATACTTCTGGCTGGAGCCAGGGAAGCCTTGCATCATCTGAAAAGACTTTATTTGCTAGGCTTGCCTAACTACTTCAAATCTGAAGGATCAGATCGTATTATGAGAGGGATATTCACCAGTTACATATTTATCTAATACTTCAGATATCTTTAAACCAGAATATACTGTAGATTGTCTCATCTCTACAACTGGCTGGTGAATCGTCTAGTGAACCACAGTCTTGTTGAATACTGAAACCAGAACATTGGGGTTCAGTCGTACATTTAAATACCACTGAGTCTGATCCCCTAGGCAGACTCTACAGTGCAGATGGGCAGCACTGGATAAAAGTGCTGCAGCACATCCTTCCTTGATAAGGGTGGGAAGTCACTGCATATACCAGCACTGTTTATTTGAAGACATGATTGAAAACACATAAGCTGCTTCACAATGTTAGGACCTGAAGGACAAAGAAAAAATACCAGCACAACAGTACAGAAAGATACAACTGGGCGATTTTGCTGTTTATATTTTTACGGGACCATCACCCCAGCATCTGTACTCATAGTAGTCTATGGGGATGCACCTTGCAGGCATTGAGAGGTGGAAGGAGGATTTCTGCAGCAGGCTATAAATATTGCTGAAGGCAGTTGTCAGATTCAGGTAAGTACACATCTGGGCACTGGCAGAACTACCAAGGTCGCAGCGATTGCATGTGCTACCGGACCCTAACGCTCTGCCACTTTGGGGGGGCCAGAAAGGAAGAAGAGGGTCCAGCTCCAGGTAACCACCAAAGTGCTGACATTGCCTCCCTGGGGGGGCCCATAATGGTTTCTTACACCAGGGCCCTGAGGTTTCAAGTTTCGCCTCTACATTTGGGACAGGGGAAGGTGAGATACTTTTGATCAGTGTAGTTATATGAAGACTATGTATACAGATTCCACAAAAATATTACCCAGTTTGAACAGTTGCACATACAGTATATTATATATGTACATAAATGATATATGTACATATATAGATACTGATTATATCTTCTTGAAGAACTCCCAAAATAATGTCTCATGATTTCCTTTATGTTCCAGGTTTAGCAGACAGTGTGTTGTTGACAAAGACAAACGGAACCAATGCAGATATTGTCGTCTAAGAAAGTGTTTTAGAGCTGGAATGAAAAAAGAAGGTAATTTGTGCTGCTTTGTTGTAATCACCATATTTTCAGTCCATCAACAAACACTCTGTCTATGGTAGAGGCGACATGTTTACAGAAATTAGAGTAGCTCCAGTATAGCAATCCTAACATTACCTGGGCTACAAATGGGCAGTTGTTGCAAAATGCAGGCCAAAGGAAATCATCACAATATGTTGACCGCAAACAGGTAATCATTACAATAAATGGGTAACAAGAAGGCAATCGTTACAGTACATACGCAGCAAATGGACAAACGTTACTATACTTGGGTGACAAATAGGCAGTTTTTACAATACATCAGTAATGACAGTAACAGTGACAATAATGACAAAAACTAAATCCCGGTCTGTCTTCCCTTCCTATTTTTATACTATGCCAGTTACAGTTTACAATTGAATTAAATTGCATAAATGTGTTTTTCATATTTTTCTCATTTTCTTCACCAATCAGCTGTTCAGAATGAAAGAGACAGAATAAGCACAAGAAAAAGTGGATTTGAAGGAAGCAATGTCACATCCATTAATACACTGGCACAAGCAGAAGCTTTGTCTCGTCAGGTATGGAAATCAATGATAATTTAAATGGAATGTATGATCTGTTTAATTTTTTTTTTAGACTGACTTATATAAGAGACCAGCATGATAGAAATGATAATATCAATATGTATTAATTTTATTAAAACATGTTTTTACATATGTAAATAGGCATGGCATTGCTGTGCTATACAGTGGTTGTGCTTTTGTGCTTCTTCTCACAATAAAATGTTTTTAAGTCAACCTATACATTGAAAATAATGCACCCTGTAATTGTTGAGCTGATAGGTTGGGTGAAGCTGAGTCAGAAACAGAGCTCCATCTAGTGGTTATTTTAGAAAATTGCATTGTACTGTTCTATTGAATACAATGGTGCTAAGCTTTGCAAAACCAAAGTACAGTTGAAATGAGTCTTAAAGGAGAACTATGGGGTTAAGTCTTTTTCCCATAGTTCTACTTAGGGTAACGGGAGGACACAAACTAGCGTCCTCCCGTCACCCTAGGCTCAGTATACTGCGAGCTGTAGCTCGCGGTATACTGAGACGCCGCAGTATACCGCAAGCTGCTGCTCGCAGTATACTGAGACGCCGCAGCGGATCCCGACAATTGTTCCGGGATCCGTCCAGCTGCGTGACTGACAGCTGGCTCTGCCTATCTAGAGGCAGAGCCAGCTGTACCCGTCCCCTCCCCCGTCCGATCCACCAGTCAGCGCTTGCCGATCGGAGCAGGCGCATTCTTCCAAAGTCTCAACCGAAGCGGGGAGAACGGTCTGCTAAGCAGACCGTTTTCCCTGCAACTAACAACTGGGCGGAGCCAGCCATGATGTCACGGCCGGCTCCGCCCAGTTGTTTTCATATGTCCTGAACCTGTGTGAAGCCTCTACCAAATGTAAACAGTTAAGCGGAGCTAGCAGTTATGACACCAATCTACTTAGGGTAACGGGAGGACACAAACTAGCGTCCTCCCGTCACCCTAGGCTCAGTATACTGCGAGCTGTAGCTCGCGGTATACTGAGACGCCGCAGTATACCGCAAGCTGCTGCTCGCAGTATACTGAGACGCCGCAGCGGATCCCGACAATTGTTCCGGGATCCGTCCAGCTGCGTGACTGACAGCTGGCTCTGCCTATCTAGAGGCAGAGCCAGCTGTACCCGTCCCCTCCCCCGTCCGATCCACCAGTCAGCGCTTGCCGATCGGAGCAGGCGCATTCTTCCAAAGTCTCAACCGAAGCGGGGAGAACGGTCTGCTAAGCAGACCGTTTTCCCTGCAACTAACAACTGGGCGGAGCCAGCCATGATGTCACGGCCGGCTCCGCCCAGTTGTTTTCATATGTCCTGAACCTGTGTGAAGCCTCTACCAAATGTAAACAGTTAAGCGGAGCTAGCAGTTATGACACCACTAGCTCCGCCCAAATGTTTATATTTTGACGACATCTGTCAGATTCTGCATTCTGCGGCGGGAGTTTGCCGCGTGCGGTCGGGTCGGCGGGAATCGGGTTTCTAAAATAAATTTATTTGGTATTCTTATTTTTTATTTCGCCCAAGTCATCGCCGTCGTGGACAACGCTGGGCGTCTTGATTGACCCTGGATTACGTAGTTGGATCAATTTTTTTATTTTTTTTATTTTAATAAAGGAATTATTTTTATTTAAATTAAAGGATTTTTGATTAAAGTCTGGTCTTTTTAATTGTCTTTTATTTAACCCTTTAGAGCAGGGGTGCCCATTAGGTAGATTGTGATCTACCAGTAGCTCTCCAAGCTGATGCTGGTGGATCACGAAGGGTGTGAATGGCGGCCCCTTTATTCCATTTTGGTATATTTATTTAGCTGTGCACAGATGATTACCTATTAGCCTGAGTCTGCTGAGCCAAGCTCCCTGACACCTTTCTCGTGGATACTGGTGGTTGAAGTGCTATGTATTACATCAAAGAATATTAGTTTACACAGCCTGCTGCAAAATACAGCAAGGTGAGCCAGGAGAGAGAGAAAAGATTGCCAGGGGAGAGAGAGAGCAAGGAGAGACAGCCAGGGGAGAGAGAAAGGAGAGACAGCCAGGGGAGAGAGAAAGGAGAGACAGCCAGGGGAGAGAGAAAGGAGAGACAGCCAGGGGAGAGAGAAAGGAGAGACAGCCAGGGGAGAGAGAAAGGAGAGACAGCCAGGGGAGAGAGAAAGGAGAGACAGCCAGGGGAGAGAGAGAGCGAGGGAGGTTTTTTTTTCGTTGGTAGATCTCATGTAGCTCGCCATTTGAAAAGTAGATCTTAACATAAAAATTGTGGGCACCCCTGCTTTAGAGAATAGGCAGGGTTAAAAGTACCCCTTACTTATTCACAAGTGGGGCGCATTTATTAAAGGGGTACCCCAATGCAAATAAGCCCCCCTGACTGCAGATCCCCACAACCAATGCCCCAGGGCTTGTGGGGAAGAGGCCCTTGCCCCATCGGCATGGGGACAAGCTGCTTTTGCAGGGTGGACCCTGGAAAAGCACCCTCCCACTGCCGAAGGCATGTGGCCTTACGGCGGGGGGCGGTCATCCATCCCCTTTTCTGTCCTGCCAGGCCTGTGCTTGGATCAAGGGTCTGATTAGGAATGTTTCCCCTTAAAAATTCCTACCAGACCTAAAGAGCCTGGTATAACTTTTGGGGGAACCCCACGCATTTTTTTATAACTTCGGGTCCCTCCTAACATTCCTTCCAGACCTAATGGGTCTGGTATTGTTTGGGAGGGGGACTCCATGCTGTTTTTTTTTATTTTAATTTTTATTATTTCCTTAACTTTTTAAAATCTTAAAATTTTTTTTTTTTCTTTTGTTTAAATTTTTTTTATTCTGCTTGTTACCTCAGAGGTAGCGAGCAGAGTAGTCGAGCCAAGTGCTGCTCGGGAGCATTCGACTATTCACTCACTGTCGTTCGACCCCTATGAGAATAGGGGTGATTGGTAGCAAGTGAAGTGCCGGAGGTTCGGCTCGACCTATCCAAATGTTGGATCGGCTGAGTCGAACGGCTTCTGCACTTCGGCTCAGCCGAACATGCTGAGCATGTTTGGCTGACCAAAACTAGCCGAAGTACGACTGATTTTAGCCGATGTATGGTTGAAAGCAGCCATAGAGAGTCGAAGTGAATAGCCGAACGCTGTTTGGCTCAGTTCACTTCAGCTCAGTCATTCACTCGGCTTCCTTCGGCAGCTTAGTGAATTACCCTCTTTGTTTTCACTATATGTCTAGCTTGTTAAAGTTTAATAGGTTTTTCTTTACAGATCTTCAAGGCCAATGAACATAAAAAACACTTTGGAGCAAT